TATTTTTCTGCAAGACATTTAAATCCCCATTACTTAAATTCAAGTATATTCACAATTTCATGAATAATGTAAGCACACACCGACTAAGAAGAGGTGTAACTAAAGATAGATATTCTGGTATTCAAATCACATTCTAGATAGTCTTTATAATATTCAGGTTATGGGTGTAGAGGTGTTACTGTGATAATGAATTTACATTTTAAATATCAATATTATGACATTTTTGTTTTGTCATGTTTCTTTAGTCAAAACTCCCAATTCGAGGTAGTTGGCAAAAACTAGAATTTGTCTTCCCAACAGCAGGTGATAGAATATCAATTTTCCCTCACCTTTCTGTCCTTACTTTCTTTATCTACTTTACCTGATAATAAAGAACAAGACCCCTATCAGAAGGATCCCAGTCCTGGATCAAAAGGAAATAATACCACACAAAGAAACAAAAAGCCTTGCTAGATTTCTCAGTCAGTGTTTTAGTATTAGATCATATCTTTGTCTGCTCACACCTCAACTTGATGTCCATGTTTCAACCACGTATTTGCAGCGTAACTTCCGTAAACCCAGGGCAGGACTCACAGCACCTCTGTATAACTGAACATGTGGCAACCTTGGGATGTGGCACATCTAAAGATGGCATGGAAGCTCTGCACCCCATCCTCCAGAATTCTCCCTCCGTATCTTAGGTGTTAGCAGAGTAAAAGGTTACCTAAGATTCTGTGGAGAATGAGCTGCAAGTCTGCAATTTAAATGTGACTGCATTATGGCTTAGTGAAGAGAATCATAGATGTGTGTGTGTGTACATACGTTTCTGAAAACTCTTGTTAGGAACTACTTTTTCCATAATTGTGCCAATTATTCTTTAAATGTAATTATTATTTCATGATAATTGTTTGCAGTCATTTTATTGTTTTTCTAGTTCAGGCAGGGCTTTCTTAGTTTCTATTTTTTAAAAAGATTTATTAATTTATTATGTATACAGTGTTTGCCTGCATGTATGTCTGTATACCAGAAAAGGGCATCATATCTCATTGTAGATGGTTGTGGTCCACTTTGAAGTTGCTAGGGAATGAACTCAGAGGAACTCTGGAAGAACAGCCAATGCTCTTAACCACTGAGCCATCTCTCCAGCCCTCTTAATTTCTATTTGTAATGCTTACTATACATGTCAAGCTCCCCAAGTAAGGTGTGCATCTACATTGTCCTGGACTGTAGATTTTATCTCCAAAATCCCAATGTAAATGAAACCTATAGATGTACATTATTAAACAATAGAGGCAGTATTTACTCTCAAATATGACTCAATAATCACCATGGTATAAAAATTACTTATGTACTCATAAAAGTTGAAAATGAAAAAATTCTAGTAAGACACAGAGTACCACAAACTGGTAATGAAAATATCAACATAATAATAGGATGGTTTGGGCTGGAGAGATGGCTCAAAGGTTAAGAGCACTGGCTGTTCTTCCAGGGGTCTTGAGTTCATCCCCCAGCAATCACAGGGTGGCTCACAACCATCTATAATGCGATCTGGTGCCTTCTCCTGGTGTACAGGCAAAACACTGTATATACAGTAAATTAATATTTTAAAAAATCATATGCTGCTTCAAATGATTCTGAAAGCGGCTCCACAAACCTTCCAGTTAACTAAAGAATCTGAAGTGTGTGTGTGTGTGATGCCAAAGTGGATTTTGGAGCTGTAGCAGGGTGAGTTAAAGCATAGGCTCTACAGCTAAGGCCACAATTCTGATTCTATCACTTGTTGTGTGACTCAGACACATTCTATAACTTCACTTTTGTCCCTGGATAAAATGTGACTTACTTATAGTAACTACAATGAGGTATTTGGCATTTATGAACATAAATTTAATGCATGTGATATACCAAGAATGATGACTTAAATTATTCAAATCCAGGGGGTTACTTTGCCCTTTGTTACCATTTTTAAAAAGTCTATATTCACCACAAAATTGAGCAGGAAGTACAGATAACTCCCACATACATCATGGCTTCGGACACACAAAGATACAGACACACAGACACAGAATCAGAGTGGGCATTTGTTATGAGAATAGACATTTGCTATTAATGTGTGAGCCTACACTGACACACCATTAACACAGAAAGTACATGGCTTGTGTTAGAATTCAATTAAAGTATGTTTATCGGACTGTGGGTTTTGCTTCAGCTATAAAGGCATGTTTCTATTTCGGCACCACACAGTCTTCGCTGCTATTAGAAACCCTGCACTCTATTCATGTTCCCACCCCTGGTAACACTAACCTGTCTTCAAGCTTTGCTCTTTACACTAGCACAGTGGTGGAGAAATGAGAGTGGCCCCTGTAGGCTCATATATTTGAATGCCTAGTTTCCAGTTGAATTGTTCGGGAAAGGTTAGGTATGGCCTTGTTGGAGATGCTGTGTCACTGGGGGGCAAGTTTTAAGTTCCCAAAGCCCATGGCATAACTAATTGGCCCTCTGTCTTCAACCTGAAGATAAGGATCTAAGCTCTAAGCTACTGTTCCAGTGTCATGCCTGCCTGTCATGTGCTCCTCTATGATTATGGATGCATCCTTTAAAACTGTGAGGAAGCCTCCTATTAATCTCTCTCTCTAAGTTGTCTTGGCCATGGTGTCTCTTGACAGCAATAGAAGAGTCAGACAATCACAATGGCATAGCCTTACCATGCATAGTGTTTTGGATGGTTTTCTTTATAATTAATATATATATATATATATATATATATATATATATATATATATATATATATATATATATATATATACTTTAGCACTGAATAAAATACCATTGTATGAGGCTGGGTGGTGGCGGCCCACACTTTTAATCCCAGCACTCAGGAGCCAGAGGCAAGTGGATCTCTGTGGGTTCGAGGCCAGCCTGGCCTACAAACCGAGCTATACAAAGAAGCTGTCTTGAAAAACTAAACAAAACAAAAAACAATAACAAAATTCCCATTGCATAGATGTGCCTCTTTGGTTAGCCATTCACCTCAGCAGTTTCTCAACCTGTGAGTCCTGACCCTTTTTTTGGGGGGGGTCATCTATCAGACATCCTGCATATCAGATTATTTATAATTAGTTATGAAGTAGCAATGAAAGAACTTTACACGAGGAACTGTATTAAAGTGTCGCATAATTAGAAATGTTGAGAGTCACTGATTCGCCTGCTATAACACATCCTGGTTGGATTCTAGGCTTTGCCAACTGTGACTAAAGCTGCTGTAAATGTAGTATACTGGTTTTGTAAGTACATAAGCTTACAATTCATTTGGGCAGAGAACAAGGAAAGACTGCTTTTGTCATATGAGAAGAAATGCTATTTTGTTTAAAAAAAAAAGGTGGGGGGAGGTAACCTGTCTTCCAAAGAGGTATACTCATTTACCACCGGCAGTAAATGAGTTTCCATTTCCCCACAACCGTGACGGGATCTGGTATTGTGTTTTTGTTTTGGGCCTTTCCAATAGGTGTGCAGTGGCTGACACATTCAATTTTACTCCCCTGAAGAAAATTATTTCCCCTTTCCCAAGTGCTATCATTTGCAAACAGATTCTTAATTAGGGGGTGGGACTTGTGTTTACTTTCCCTCCTTTTTGCTTACTTTTTTAAAAACCGTCTTTAAACTTTCTAACATCAATAGTGAAAAGAAAACAGCATAGTACATTTGGTTCTATTAAACAAGTTAAATGCTATTGAACTCATAAAGAGAATACCAACAGGAGCCCTATGGCTTAGACCCTTATTTTTATTTGTTTTGAGAAGGGTTCTATGTAGCCCATACTCCCTGAAGTTCCAGAGCCTTTTGCCTCAGCCTCTTCTGTGCTGAAATTACAGATATAGGTCACTGGGCCAACTTGGGGCACTTCAAATACAGCAAAAAGCAGTTTCTTGGATATTCTCATCAAAGGGCCTGCATTTTTTGCCGCAGATGGAGATTATGACAGAGAACCACAAAGGGTCGTGTGCAGAGTTAAGTGACTGTGGAGTGCCGTCCCCAATCGGACATTTATATCAGAATCCCTACGCCAAGGCTATGGGAGCACTGCTGAAGATGGCAGAAGAAATTTTAAAGAGGGAGGGGGATGGGGAGACTGTTGGGAAATGCCCATCACTCAGCAGCACACCAATGGTCTAGTCAACACTCCAGCATGCATTGGGTGGGGTAACAGCTAGCAAGGTTCCATGCTTAGGTATGGGGCCAGTCAGTCAAGTCTGCTGAGGGTGTCAGTTTCATTCCTGAAGAGACTAGATTGGTTTCCCATGTTCAAGAGCTCAGCCCTACATCCAAAGACATTTGAAGTACATATGTAATTAGGAACACACACACACACACACACACACAAATAACAGGACACGGATTTGATTTGAGCAGGGCATGGCAGGGAGAACACGGGAGGGAAGAGTGAACAGGATCAACCACGCGTTTTACTCACATATGAAATTCTCACACCCAACAAGCAACTCCCTTAAAGGAATCTAGTTCTTTAAAAAAGATTGGCACGGGGGGGGGGGGCTTATATTCATTCACCCAGCACTGAATGTGAAATGCACACAGAACCGGGGTTTCCTACAAGCGAGATCACACTCACGGAGGTCACCTTTCACCAGGAATTACACCACACGCCCAGACACCAAAGAGCAGAGGAACAACCCTGCCCTCTCCCGTATTCTAGCGCCCTTCAAGCCGGTGCACACTGCTCTCCCCCCCCCCCCGTCCACTTCGGATCCTCCCGCGGCGGTGGGGACGGGGATAGATGGTGCGGGGCGGGGTCCCGGGTCCTTTACAGACAGCGTCAGCAGCAGCTGGGCGGCGGGTGGCAGACTCCACGGCTCGCTCAGAGAGTGGCGTCCTAGGGCGCAGCAGCTCAGCCTGCACGAGAACCTAACTGCGCGCCGACGCGGACGGAAGTGACGTCGCGGGTGGCGCGCAGGGCCGCCGCACCAAAGAGGCGGGCCGGAGGGGGTGGTTGCTGGGAGGGCGGGGGCGGGGCGCGGCCGAGGCTCCGTTTCCGGTGGCTGCTTGCGCTCGCTCACCCCAGCTGCAGCCACTCTCTCCCGTGGCTGCTTCCTCCATCCTGGTATTTTTTGGAGCCTCCATCCTGGTTCTTCCAAAGTGCCCGGACCCAAAACAGGAAGTAAGTGCGATGGAACCTTCAGGTCCGGGCCTCTGCCGCAGCCGCTCCGCCCAGCGCAGCCGGGCCGGCCCCTTCCAGGCCTCGGCCCCCGCCGGCCGGGTGCCGCGGGCGGGGTGGGGGCTCGGCCTTCGCCCAGCCGCCGCGGCAGGGCCCCGCACGCTGTGCCCGCCGCCTCCTCCGCCGGCCTGTGCGGGCGCCGGCGCCTGGGACCGCCGAGCGGGCGGCGAGCCGGCGGGGGCGGAAAATGGCGGCGGGCTGGAGGAACTAAATGGCGCCGGGACCCCTGGGGGTGGGCCCGAGCCGCGGAGGACGGCGCCAGGCTTCCGCGGGAGTCTGCGTGCTGGGCGGCGGAGCTTTCGGCCTGGCCCTGCCGGGTCCGCCGTGGAGTAGGCCCCCGGGCGTGGGGTGGGGCGGGGTGGGGGCGGCTGGCGGTGGGGGCGGCGGTCGCCCCCAGCCCACCCATGTCCCTGGTGCTCCGTTAGCCTGTGCGCCTCTGGCCGTCGTAGGGTTCGCCTGTCCTAGCGACGGAGTCGGGGGTGCTGGCCGGACCCTCTTTAAAGACCGCGGGACGTGGCCTGGGGTGCGGGAAGAATCCTAGCCCAGTCAAGTAGAAATTGACAAGATCGTGCCGAGCAAACCTTAGGCGCAAACCCCATTTGGTCGTCTCTGGCAAGAACTTTTTTTTTTTTTTATTGTCTTGACGATCTCCTCGAGAACGTAAAGAGTCTGTGCTGTTGAATGATGCAGCATGTGTTTTCATAGTAAAAGACTCGGCGTAGCCAAGGAAAGGATGAAAAGTACACTTCTCCCTTTCCCAGACCGAATTTTCGGAGATCTTGTACCCCTTCCTGAGAATTCCTATTGGGACATTCTAGAAAGAAAGAAAGCATTTCAGTACTGTTTCTAACATTTCATGCCTTACACTAGATACAATGCACTTGGAGACTTATTAATTAGACCTGTTATTTTTATTTTGTAAATGACTTGAGGCTTTTAGGCTGCAAATCAAGAAAGAAAAGGACCTTAGATTATATTGAAAGTTTCACAAGTACAAAGGCCATTTTTCCTAAGGATTTTTTTTTTCTTGTGCTTCAAATTTCTTTAAGCTAGTTTCAAATGAATGCTTATTGTAACATTTAAAACTACAACTATAATAACAAACTAGAGTCTTAATTAGTCTTTTACTATGATAAACTATCGGCAAAATTGTGCATATTTGGCTAAGGTAAGAAAAATTTTTAGTTACATTTCAAAAATTATTTTACGTCGAGTGTACAAGTTGGTGAGAGGCTAATAGTGCCTCCCTACCCTAGTCAGAAGCTACAGATAACAGCTTGATCCTATGTGGAAAAAATATTTTTTAGGTTAAGACAGTATTTATTTTATGATGATTTTTATCCCATTACTTGAAAGTCTTCTCAGATGTCTTTTTGTACCACCAAACAAACTAGTGTTTACTTAGACATTTTAGCTGATAGGTTTATCCCACACTATTGGGGAAATGTTGTAGAAACCTACAGATTCTGAATCTGTTTTGTTGGCTGCAAGTATGGCATGTTTCTTAAGTGTTTGGGGTTACATACAACATTAACCTTTTTCTCTGAATATTCAGGGTTTAGTATTTTGAGGGAGGAAATCAAAGTTTTGGACTTATGCTTGGAGCTTGAAAGTAGAGCATGTCCAGGATTCCTAGTGTATAGTGTCCTCTGGTTTTTCCTTTTTTGCAGTTGTGCTTGCCTATGCCATTCTGTGTCCCTAACAAAGGGCTCTGCTTTGTGTTTATTAAAGAGAACAGAATATGTGGTGTGGGGAGGACACCATTTTATAAAAACTGCTTGACAAAGGAAGAATTGCTTTACTGACCCAAAATAGCAAAACCAAACCTTGTTATCAAACTTTATCTACATTTATCATCCGTATCCGACATTTCTGGTGAATGTTTTGTTTAGGGTTGTTTTCAGGCTGTTGATTGCTTTCAGCAGATTATTATCACAACATACAAATTATTCTGGGCCAAGAGCATGAACATATTTAAGATTAAAGTTACGCATTTATCTTAGGTTGTAAAAGCTAATTGCCTGGGAAATCCAAGGCCTAGTAAATTTGGTTGCATTGTTCTCATAAAGGCAGATTAGACAGGCCAAGCACACAGTAGGACAGCATACTAAGTGCATAGTCTTAAATGATCTCAAGGCATGTTACTAGCTACGCTGCAAGATGTGACAGAAGTTCAGTCTCTTCAAAGATTGGATATTTTCAGAAAGCTCCACAAATTTTGTCTTAGTATATTGGTGCAATGGCTTAAATTAACATCTCTGAGTATACATGTCTAATAAGACATTAGCATCCCTAAGTATGTATGGCTGTAGACATTAGACTAAGGATCAAAGAACTGGGTGGCTTACTTTAAACTTATGTCTGTCTGTTGCAAACATCAAAAAGGTTAGAGAGGGTTCAGTGGTGACCACCTCAGCCATCCCCCCAGCAGCTCAGCATCTGAACTTCACATACAGCGTTTGTAGAGGCTGTCTGCTTAATACTGCCTTCTCAAGCCAGATTCTCATTATGCTCATTGATTACATTCTCTTTTTACCATAAATTGTAGAACTTTCTCTGCTTGAAAAGATTAGGAATTTATACACTTAAATGCCATGCAGTTTCAACAAAGGTAGTATGTAAACTAAGAGCCAAATGTTACTGAATGAAGTACAGAGGCCTGTGGACTTTGTTGGCTTTTGTGTCATTTCTCCGTTTGTCTTAATTTGTTTTGTGAAGACTATTCTTGTAATAAAAATGAATAAAAATCACAAAGTTTGCTTTGATACCATAAAGGCAAATTGGTTTGATTTCAATAAAATCTATTTATTGTGTCTTATTTTTCAAGTTTGTGGGAAGATAGACCACTACATGATTAAATTCCAGGCCGAAGTTGTCAAGAACAAGTATATTAGAAGGTCTTGTATAAACTTTTTACATCATACCTTTTAAAGATTTATTTTGCTACATGTACCATCAGGTCATTCCTTCCAGCCCTGGTGTTTAGAGCTAACCTCTCCCTCACTGTAAGGTGTTTTATGCAAAAGAAATGTGTGTTGGGTTTATTCACAGCCTGGTGTGTTTTATTATTTGGCAAGGAAATGTGATTTCTCAATAAACTAATGTAATTGATAATTTGTATTTAAAAAGCAGATGTTTTACAAAAAATACTGTTTTGAAAGGATGATACCTTATAGTGTAACCAAACACATAAGCTCTTATATCATCATTAATTAGATTAAAAAGACAATACAAGTCTATTGCCAAGCCAGGTATGAAATCTTATACTTCCAAGTGACCCATATTGCCAAGTAATTCACTTTATCCAATTGTAGCATCATTGATATTTGAGGCAACACTTAAAGCAACTGAAGCATTACATTAGATTTCATTAATGTATTTATTGACACTTTATGATATATAACATTTGTTTACCATTTTTTGATGTTGTTTTTCAAAACAGGGTGTTTCTGTGTAACTGTCCTGGAACTGTTTTGTAGACCAGGCTTGCTTTGAACTCATAGAGATCTGCCTGCTTTTGCCTCCTGAGTGCTGGGATTAAAGGCATACACCACCACCATCTGGCTATTTACCATTTTTTAGTGATACCATTTACCAAGTAATTCTATTTTATGTACTTTTCAGACTTTCCCACAGAGTATACAAAAGGATTCCCAGGGATCCAGAGCTGTTAACTACTAGCAGGGGATCATTTTCTCTGGCTGAATATGAGTCCTGGATAGACAAGGAGGTTCTTCAGCAATACTGGGTTCTGGAGTACCCAAGACCTAGGATCTGGCCTCACAGACCACATGTATAACAATTAAGAACCATGAGCAATAATAGGGCTGTTGCCCCAGGCTTTCATTTTAACCCAAGACTAACAGCTCTGTTAGGCCCTCAGGTTAGGCCTTGGTATTAACTATCTAGTGGTCCCAGAACAGCTTTTGTTATCATGGATTTGGACAGTCTTAATCAGCAGTGGCAGGTATTGATTGCTCTTAAATCTTAGAGCTTTCTTACCCTTTCCACAACAGCAACTGGAAGCTCTAGAGCAAAAATAAGTAGGATCTTAACCCTGTTGACAGTGACTACTGTTAACAGTTCTCAATGCCCAGAGAGTTTGAGACTCTTGGCAGCTTCCTGGGACTCCCTTCACTTCTTTGTGGCCCTTGTTGGCTGTCATCTCTGTTCCCTGACATTTTTGCCCTATTAGCTCTGAAACCCTTTAGGTCTCCTTACTGCTGCCACTGCCTCTGCTTCTGCTTGGACTTTTCCTTTGTGTGTGTGTGTGTAACCAACTAAGTTTGCTCTAACATAAAAAGTAGGAGATAATGACACTGACGAAGCTTTTTATTGGGCCTAATGATGCACACAGGTGATATAGCAAAGGAATATGTCTACCAGCTGTAGTGGGGGTGTCTCCTTCCTGGCAGCCCATACAAATAAGGAAATGTCTATGCTAGTCAGGGCAAAGTCCTTATGCAAATGAAGAACTTTGTGTATAACAATCACAGACCTTTAGCTGGACCATTGTCTGAGGTGCTCCCTTTTGGCTAGTTAGGAACAGCTGTGGGGTCATGGGGAGTTCATCAAAGCTTGTGATGGCCAAAAGGTTACACTTTAGCAAGCATGTTGGTTTCTGTGAAGCTTTCTCAAAGCACCTGTCCATAGAATATTCAAAGTAGTTGGTGGCATAACTCAGTTGGTTATGTTGTTGGTAGTTGTTTGCTCAAGAGTACTTGGGGCACTAAGGGAAAAGTCTAACATTTGTCTAATTAGAGTCAAATTGTTCCAACTAGGTTATTTGAAGGAAAGTAAACATTAAAAGGGATGCTCACAGTATAAACTTAACCTTAAAATTAATGGTGTTTCACAATGCTTAACTGTTAACCCAGTAACTCAAGAGGTGGAGCTGTCTAATCTGCCTCAGAACCATTTCCAAAATGTTCTACATTAAGTGC